AGGCTGGAGGATCAAAAGTTCAAAAGCAGCTGGGCACTGGTGGCTCACATCTGTAATCCTGGCTGCTCAGGAGGCTGAGATCTGAGGATCATGGTTCAAAGCCAGCTCAGGGCAGGAAAGTCTTTGAGACTTTATCTCCAATTAAACACCTGGACTGGAAGTGGGCTGTGGCTCAAGTGGTAGAGTGCTAGCCTTGAGCTGAAGAGTTGAGGGACAGCACCCAGGCCCAGAGTTCAAGCCCCACAACCAACCCCGCCTCCCCCCCCCAAAAAAAGTTCAAGACCAAATAGGCTAGATAATGAGACCTTACCTCAGACAAGCAAACTCTTCAGTATCTAGAAAATAAAATTTATATAATTGTTTATAAAGATTAGCCACAGGGTTTTATCATTAAGTTCTCCTGTTAGGTTTAAAGTGATTTGATTCCTAGGAATTTAGTGTTTTCTTCTTTGCAAACTTGTACACTTGAAGCAGATGTATGACTCTCAGAAATTTGTGCCTCTTTGGTCACTGAGGAATACTCACTGGATACACTTACTGAAACTGCAAACAACATTTCTGATAAACTATAATGAAATGCTTGTCATGATTTTAAGACCTCAAAGAGCCCTGTCTGCTTGGACAGCTAATTCCTGTGAGGACTGAGATCAAAACTGCAGAGTGTGTATTAATGCTGCTCCATGAACAACCTGGTATGTGGCTTTGTTTTTAGAACTGGTGCAGTAGGGCGCTTGGCTCCATGTCATTATACTCTCCATTCCTATCAGAAGACTTTGTTTGTGTTACATTTTCTTGGGGTTAGAGCTGTGATAACCTATAGCTAATCCTGAGTGAAAATGTGCAGTTTTTCCAATTCTTCCTTAAGTAAATACATCAACTCTTGTTTCCTCTATCACCTATCATTTCTTTGTAATTTTATTATTTAGCCCACATTATATTTTTTCTAATCTAATTAATTGCATTGAGAAACACCACCTAAAAGAGATGAGAGAACAGTGTATACACACACACACACACACACACACACATCCTGTGTTTAGCCTCTTTGAAGTAAGAATTTATCTTCATTTTTTTTAACCCTTTGGATAATTAACTATCAAATTTGGAAGCATGTTTCTTAGTAGAATGATTTGGTCTGTTCTGCCTATTTTATTAGTAAACTACCAGTGGCAAGTAATTTAGTTGTAGCTTCATTATGACAAAAATAAAATAATCATAAGGGCTGGTGTTTTAAAAGTTGGTGTTTTCCCTCAGACCATTTTTTCTGCATGTTTACAAGCAAAGCAGATCTTCTATGTGAATATGATTTCCTTCCTGTATTCATTATCTAACCATATAAATAAAAAAGCCCCCTATGAGTTTTTGTTCTCTATTTAAAGTTGTTAGAATCTATTATAAGTGATTCCTGAATGAATGGCCAAAGCATTTTTTGGAATGGCTTTTGGCAATATCTTTTGCATGATGGCTGGTGATTGGGTGTTTATAGGTTCTTTTTCCTCCACCTTTAACTGTTCGTTAACAGCTGACTCCAAATCTTGAAGTATTTAACTGTTCCTAAACAAATTATTAATTCTAATTATTTTGAGTCAGCTTTTCTTTTCCTTTTGTTAGTCTTGGGGCTTGAACTCTGGGCCCAGGCGCTGTCCCTCGGCTCTTCAGCTCAAGTGAGCACTCTACCACTTGAGCCACAGCACCATTTCCAGTTTTCTGGCGGTTAATTGGAGATAAGAGTCTCACAGATTTTCCTGTCCAGGTTGGCTTTGAACTGTGGTCCTCAGATCTTAGCCTCCTGAGTAGCTAGGATTACAGGCATTAGCCACTGGCGCCTGGCTTAGAGTCAGCTTTCTTTTAGCCTTTTTCTTACCCTCTTTGGCTGCAAACTAGTAGAAATATACCTTGGGTTTGTATGCTGGCTCTATAATTTTTTTTTTCCAGTAGTGGGGCTTAAACTCAGGCACTGGGGACTGTCCCTGAGCTCTTTCCCTCAAGGTTAGCACTCTACCACTTTGAGCCACAGCTCCATTTTCAGTTTTCTGGTGGTTAATTGGAGGTAAGAGTCTCATAGATTTTTCTGCTTTGAACCACTATCCTCAGATCACAGCCTCCTGAGCAGCTAGGGTTATAGGTGTGAGATACAAGTGCCTGGTCTGGCCTGTGATTTTAAGTCTATATCTATCTCTGTTCCTTTTCTGTAAAGAGAGAAAACCAGTAGTTCTAATTTCATAGATTTATTGTGAGGAATACATAAAGGGCCAGGTGTTTTCTTAGATATTAAAGACCATACAGATCTCTATCTTAGCTACTCAGTGCTGTCTTTACAATGTGAAAGTAGCCCAATAAATGTGTTTATAAAAACAATGGAGTTGGACATGGTGGGGCATGCCTGTAATCCCAGAATTTAGTAGAGAACACTGTTAGCTTGAGTCACAGTAGCACCCTGTCTCCAAAAAAAACAATAAAAAGCAGACAATGGACTACATTAGGCTCATTGGGCTATAGTCTGTGGACCCCCATCAAGACAAAAAAATAACATGTGGAAAATACTAAAAATTCAGCATAGCTCTTCTGTGAAATGGAATATCAATTGATTTTAAAATTCAGTTTATGCTGGAGGACCAAGAGAGAGGGTGAATGAGTGTGAAAATGTCATGTATGCATGTATGAAAATAAAACAATGAAATCTGTTGAAATTGTTTTAAGAAATGGGAGGGGAGATGAGGGAAACAGATGAAAATGAGTTTGATCCTGTGTGTGTGTGTGTGTGTGTGTGTGTGTGTGTCAGAAATTTCCGCCCTCAACCATGAATATATACTGATCTTTTAAAAATTTAGTCTACAGCCAGGCACTAGTGGCTCATGTCTCTAATACTAACAGTCTAGCAATACAAGAGGATGAGATCCAAGGATTGTGATTTGAAGTCAGTCCAGGCAGGTCCATGAGAATCTTTTTTATTTTTTTTTTTTTTGGTCGGTCATGGGGCTTCAACTCTGGGGTCTGGGCACTGTCCCTCAGCTCTTCAGCTCAAGCCTAGTGTTCTACCACTTGAGCCACAGTGCCACTTCCAGTTTTCTGAGTGGTTTATTACAGATAAGAGTCTCACAAACAAGACTTTCCTGCCTGGGCTGGCTTTGAACCATGATCCTCGGATCTTAGCCTCCTGAGTAGCTAGGATTAAAAGTGTGAGCTACTGATGCTCAATGAGAATCCTAACTCTAATTAAGCACCAAAAATGCCAGAAATGGAGCTGTGACTCAAGTGGTAGAGTGGTAGCTTGAGCAAAAAAGTTCAGGGACAAGCTGGGCCCCAGGTGGCTCATGTCTGTAATCCTAGCTACTCAGGAGGCTGAGATCTTAGGATCATGGCTCAAAGCCAACCCGGGCAGGAAAGTCCGTCCGTGAGACTATAACCTGCAATAAACCACTAGAAAACCAGAAGTGGTGCTGTGGGTCAAGGGGTAGAGTGCTCACCTTGAGCTGAAGAGTGCAGGGACAGTGTCCAAGCCCAGAGTTGAAGCCCCCCCACAACTGACAAAAAAAAGCTCAGGGACAGCACCCAGAACCACACACACACACACATACACACTTCAATATACAGCCTTAGAAACATTTTTTTAAAAACCTCAGTGTCTGAAGCATGTTCTTCTCAGTTAATACATTTTTTTTGTGCAAATTCTTTATTGTGATTAAGTGATTACATACACAAATTTCACAGTATTTGGGATAGGGATGTTTAGTTAAAGTCACAAACACATTCTAACTTTCATGGGGCAAATTGTCTATTGTAGTCTATAAAGTTTATGAGTTCTATGAGCTTTGACAATACAGTTATTTCTTCCACATCAGGTGATATATACATTTCTTTCCTTTTCCTTAGTGTCAGCTGTTCCCTCTTTCCCACTCGTTCCCTCCCTCCCATCACTGTCATTGAGTTGCTTATTTCATTTTGATCAATGTCCAGTGCAGCTGATGGGTTCCACTGTTGTATGTTTTTCCCTGATTCCCTCTAGTTCTGTGTCCTCCTAGTTTCCCTCCGGTGTGCACATATATACCATCAGTTAATACATTTTATGATGAAAGGCTTAGGAGCTGTAAGTATTTCCATATCCACAAAAGCACATTCATGCAGAATATCCCCAAATATTCTCCTCTTTGCTGCTTTAACAACAACAATATATAAAAAAATAACATAGAGGCTGGCACCGGTGGCTCATGCCTATAATCATAGTTACTCAGGAGGCTGAGATCTGAGGATGACGGTTCAAAGCCAGCCCAGGCAGGAAAGTCCATAAGACTCTTATCTCCAATAAACCACTAGAAAACTGGAAATGGCGCTGTGGCTCAAGTGGTAGAGCACTTGCCTTGAGCTGAAGAGTGAGGGACAGCGCCCAAGCCCAGAGTTCAAGCCCCACAACCGACGACAATAAAAAAAATAGAGGGTCGGGAAGGTGGCTCAGTGGTAGAGCACTTGCCTTGCATGCATGAAGCCTTGGGTTCGATTCCTCAGCACCACATAAGCAAAAAGAAAAAAGCCGGAAGTGGTAGAGTGCTAGCCTTGAGCTGAAGAGCTGAGGGACAGCGCCCAGACCCAGAGTTCAGGCCCCACGACCAGACCCCCCAAAAAATTAAAAAATAAAAAAAAACAACATAGAGCTGGGGCTGTAGTTCAGTGCTAGAACATGTGTAGGGCTCTAGATTTGATAAAGCACTATAAAAAGGAGGGGAAAAAACTTAAAAAACAAAAAACAAAATACCCTCCCCCTTAAAATATTGCAACTATTTTTAGAAGCCATTCTTTCACATTTATTATATTTTCTATTAGTCTGTTAATACTTATAAGGTATTTTTAGTCTGTCTTTGCATCATATGTATATGTATATATTACAACTAATCTTTTATTACATATAGGATAATAGTAAATACCTCAGAATGTCATAAGAATATTTGATGGTCTCAGAGTGATAGCTGTGATTTGATAACCATTTTCCAAACATCTTTTTTCAGAAACTGACTCAACAGTACAGAAAGAACATAGAAACCAGACACCTGGTCCACCTGCAACTCAAACTTCTGCTCCTTCTAAGTACCATCGAACTCGATCTGGAGGAGCCAGGGATGAGCGATACAGATCAGGTGAGAAGGAATTGCAGAATTACCATAATTACTGACTGGTATGAATTTTGTATACTTGAGAGTTATATAAATGACCAATGTGGGTTTTCTTCTCGGTGGCACCAAAATGTTTATATTAATTTACTCATCAGTTGTTGTTGTTGTTGTTTATTGTTGGGCATGGAGCTTGAACTCTGGGCCTGGGTGCTGTCCCGCAGCTTTTCAGTTCAAGGCTCTATAACTTGAACCACAGCACCACTTCAGTTTTCTGAGTGCTTTATTGGAGATAAGAGTCTCACGGACTTTCCTGCTAGGACTGGCTTTGAACTGCGATCCTCAGATCTCAGCCTCCTGAGTAGCTAGGATTATAAGCATGAGCCACCATGCCCATCTCATCAATCATTTATTTAGTACCTACTACGTGTGAGATACTACTACATTCAATGTTTGTTGACTGTATAGCTCTTCTTCTTCCTCTTCTTCTTCTTCTTCTTCTCTCTTTCTCTCTCTCTTTCTCTCTTTCTCTCTTTTTCTTCTTTCCTCCTC